TTTTTTTTTTTTTTTTTTTTGGTTTTTCGAGACAGGGTTTCCCTCTGTAGCCCTGGCTGTCCTGGAACTCACTCTGTAGACAAGGCTGGCCTCGAACTCAGAAATCTGCCTGCCTCTGCCTCCCAAGAGCTGGGATTAAAGGCGTGCGCCACCACCGCCCAGCAGATTAAGAGCTCTTAACTGCTTTCCTGGAGAATAGTAGTCTGGTTCCTAGTGCCCATGTTGCACTGCCTATAAACCGCCTCCAGGGGATTCCATGTCCTCTTGTCACCTGCAGCACACGAACTCAAATGCACACACACCTCCAACACATACCCAAATAAAAGGGAAGAAGATGAGAGTGTCCCAGCTGATCTTTATTTGAAGCAGGCCTGTCACTAGATAGGACGTGTCTGCTATGCTGTGTGTGTGTGTTGGGGGGTGTCTGTGAAGTTTTGGTGTGACCGCCCCCCACCATGACTGACAGCATTTCCAAACGGTAAGAAGTAAAATCTCGGCTTGTCACGCTTACCTGCGTGGCCGTGTTGCCTCCTCTAACATGGAAATAAGTTCATGTGTATATGCAAACATTTAGGATAGTGTCTGGCACACATGAATACCCAATAAATACTGCTGGTTAGTGTGTGTTCACGCTCACCCGTGGTGCACACTGGCAATGAACTTTGTTCAGCCAGTCTGCTTGTGTTAACATTCTCACACAGCCTTTTCAATTCCTTTTGAAATTTCCACTGAAGTGGAAACTTCTGGGTTTTGTTGTTGTTGTTGTTGTTTGTTTTTGGAAAGTCGGTTATGTCAAATGTTGGTTTGCTGGAGCACAGAGGTGAAAGGATGTCTTGCTAACGCAGACACATAAAAGAATGTTTTCCCGAAGCAGACACAGGTGAAAGGATGTTTCGATATAGCAGACACGTGAAAGGACCCCTGATGAAGGCGTATAACTATGACCCCATGGACAGGGGGAAACAGGCACTGGGCATTGGTTTGGTTTGCTCTGCCTTGCTATTCTTGGCTAACAACACAGATGTATTGGTTTACCTTCATAGCATTGTTGAGTTAAACTTGTGGTAGTTTCTCACCATCATTGAGAGAAACTCAGCCAAAAACTGCTCCTGAGGTTCCTGTGGCAGCTTGCTGCTTCAGTGGCCTTGGGTCAGTTGGTGAGCCTTGCAGTTTCTTCAGGATTAAACTACAGCTCCTGGTTCATGCCTGGTATCAGCCTGTCTAGAGGACTGGACTGTAGCTGCTGAGTGTTTGGTGTTTGCTATGGGACTGAACCGCTGCCCAAGAAGATCAAGCTTGTCCCCCAAAGAACTATTGCAATACAGGTCCACTTCCTCCATCTCCTAATAACTTTTCTCTTCCATTGCCTCTGCTAGGTTGTGGGCAAGAGGAGAGGTTAAGCGTTTATTAAAAGTAGGTTGAAAAAAAAAAAGGTTGCAAAAAAATGTATGCCTATACTCCATCATCTGAAGCCTGAAACCAAATATGGGTCCTCTCTGTGCCAGAGCCCAAGACAGAGTAAGTGCTTGGGAATCAACTGTAGAGGCAAGTGTGTCCAGTCCTCTCAGAATCTACCCCAGGTCGATGAGTTGCTGTCTGGGTGCGACTGCTCTGAAGCTTTCGCTGACCTGTGTAGAAGGCTGAGTCCGAATGCCTGAGGACACGTGCAGCTGTGTGGGAGGGTCTGTAATGGTAAGGTAAGGGGACAGGCTGTCTCACTTCTGATCAGTGTGACAGAAAGTAGAAGGCATCTAAGATAACTAGACCCGGGGGTGCATGCCTTAGGTGCACCCTAATCTAAACAGGGCTCACCCCAAAAGGAGGACCTGCTTGCATTCTTCTCCTGCCAGCCCTGCACCTTTCGTCTCGGGTTTTCTAGCTTTTCCGTCCAAAGCAGCCAATAATCAAGCTCTACTTCAGGTCTGAGCCTGAGTCTCCTCCCAACAGGACACAGAACTGCCTTAAAGGCCCAAGTTCCCATTCACTATGCCAACACCTGCCTCCCAATTCTGGCCCCTTCCCAGTCTAAGCTCACAAGCCGGTAACTGAGCTCTGGGCCAAGGAATTTTGCCTGAAAGTAATGGTGGGAAGGAAATATTTGGGGTCTGAGCTATGATTGGTCGAGCTCGAGCTCGAGCCACGCCTCTAGCCCTTTCCCCCTTTTTCCCCCCCTCCCCTCCTCCTCCCGGGAGGGGTGTGTTGAGGGAACCAGGATCAGCCTGGGGCCAGCATGAGCCAGAGGGAGGGAAGTCTGGGTAAGGGGTTGAGTGACTTGATCCTGGGTCCGTGGTGGGGATAGGAGTGGAGGGGTCGAAAGCTGGGATTTGGATGTCTGTCAGCACCACCCCACCCCCAAGTCTGGGAGGGGAACGGCCTGGGCGGGGGAGAGGAGACGCCGGTGTCAGGTAACCAGCGGGTGAGTTGGGAGAAAGAGCAGGCGCCAAGGAATTGAGGCTTCAGGGCCTTGGGTTCAGGGGTTAGATCACCGAATATATATGGGTGAGTACACCCTGAAAAGGGGCTGGGGTCGGGTTGGGACAGGATAATAGTGCTTCTTGAGTATTAGGAAAGAATCAAAGCTGAAAGACTGGAGGGAGAGGCCGAGTTAAAGAAGTCTTTGATCTTCGAAGAAGCTACAAGTGAAGGGAGCCCAAAATACAGGCTTCGGAGATCTCCGCTGGCGGTGGGAAACTCCGACTGAGGGGATTGTCGGGTCAGGACTACATTCCCCAGCATGCATTGGGGTGCCAGCAGTGTGCATGTTGGGAAATGTAGTCGGCCTCCTGTGGCACCACCCCCTAACCAGGGCAGGCCATCCTGTCCTTGATTCATTGATGCTGCTGAGCCTAGCATGTCACATAGGAGCAACATGAAGGGAATAGGTCTTCGGTTTCTCTATCTGTACAAGGGGCCGGAAAGGCGTGTTTAGTGCTTCAGAGATGCTGACTGACTTCAAACAGCAGTTGGAGAAATCCAAAGATATGTGAACTTTGTCCTTTAAGGAGTTTCTGGATAGTAATGATATAGCGTGAGGAGTTTCAGGATCAGGCAGATTCACATGAATAAAAGAAGCTACTTTGGAAGTGTAAACAAATTGCCTAAAGTGGAAGGAAGAAATTGATTTGAGAGTAGGGAGAATTTGGAGGCAGCACTCAGAAAAAGGTGTGAATTCGGTCCTGATAGTATATTAATGGTGATCTGAGGACAGGAGAGACATCTATGTAGTTAAACTGAGATGAGGCAGAGTCTTCGTAGCTTGAATATTAGTGTCCAGAGCAGAGCCTCTGGGTTCAGGAAGAGCCAGCTTGGGAAAGACAGTTAAGGAGTGGGGCTTGGGTGCCTTTATAACCTCTCACTCCCTCCTCTTCCCACCAGAAGACCACCAGGCTGACTCCTCAATCTCATTCCTACCTCATTTGGAGGCCAAGATCCGCCAGACACACAACCTTGCACGCCTCCTGACCAAATATGCAGAACAACTGCTGGAGGAATATGTGAGTGGCCATAGGATTGGGGCGTCGAATGGGGGCGATTGCTCAGTGGAAATCAAAAGTTTCTGAAGGGAATTTAACTTTCTTCTGGCCACACAGTAAGGGACCCTGTAATATTTATCCTTTTAAATGTAACTAATATTTGTATCCATAAAAGACAACATGAGGTGGGAGCTGTGGATAAGCCCGCAAGCTCAGTCAGGTAATTTTTTCTTAACTACAGAATATCTATTGACAAGCCTGATTCTGCAACTAAACTGCTAGCTCTTTAGAGATCTCTCTCTAGCTGGCCTTCTACCAAGAGTTTGGCTCCTCCAAGCCCAGGCGGGCCCCTTAGCCCGTCTCTAGAACCTCACTTCACCTGTGTCCTGCCAGCTGCTTCTCTACAAGCCCAGAGAGCTTCTTACCCAGACCTTCTTCCATGACATTCCTCCAAGCCAAGAGAGAGAGAGACCCCCCAAAAGGTGCCTCCCTCTCAAAGGTCCAATTGCTATAAAAGAAGTCTCTAGCTCCTCTCCTAAACCCTTGGCAGGCTGAGTTGCATCACCATGGTGGGGGTGGGCTCCAAGCCAAGTCAGTGGAGGCCCAAACCATTTTACCTTTATGGTGGGGCAGCTCATGGCCAGCCAGGTGCCTGCCTTCGGTTATACAGCAATTTGCCTTAAAATTTGCCTTAGGCAGAAACTTACTGTTCTTTGGCATTCTTCTCTAACTAGGACTAGGCTTTCACGGGCACACAGACTGCATCTTTGCAGGACACACCTAACTGCGTTTGACAAACTCACCATCTCTCTTAGCTTGTATATTTTGCTAACAATTGGGTTTTCTTTGAGCCATAATCAAATATCTTGCAACAGGACCCATCAGTGGTCAAATGATACTGTGCCTCAGCTTGGAGGCTCCGTCCTTGGAGCCATTCTGAGGAAACAAAGGGAACTCTGAAAGTTAGGAAACCTAGATTTGGGCTCAATATGATCGGGATGTTTCAACTCCTTGGGCTGTAAAATGAAATAGCTGAACAACATGAACTATGAACACTTCCACCTTGGACATTTAGAGAAGCCAAGAGGGGTGTCAGTCAGAGGCAAAAAATCTTCCCATGAGGGTCCTTTTACAGAGAAAAGGGACCTGCCAACAGTCCCGGCCTGACCTCCAGATTGCCATAGTATAGTGGAAGAAGGCTGGTGTTTTGGTTCAAACAGACTGTGGGGTTGCTAAATTGTGACCTTGGTGGTAATGGTAACATTAAAAAATGTAACCATGGTAACAGTGGCAGTAGGATGGTACAGCAAGCTTTGTAGACATACCAACTTGCTCTGCTGCTTCCTGGGTGAGTAGCCTGCTGTCAATCATTCTTTGTATTCAGCTCTTTTTTTAAAAAATTATATTCCTTTATTTTGTGTGCATGTCTGTGGCTACACAAGTACCACAGACATGCACACAGAATGTAATTTCTGTGTACATGAAAGTCAGGAGACAACCTAAGGGACTTGCTTCTCTCTTCTTTGATATCTGGACCAAGCTGAGGTTGTCAGGCTGGTAGCCATCTCAGTGGCCCCGATTTCCATCACTATCATCCCCACTTTTAGGAAGATATTATATTTAAAGTGGCAACCACAAGGCCTGCAGGGTGCCGAGAGATTTGCCAACAATAAATATTATTTTTACAGCATTTGACAAATTACAAGTCACCTTTGTTTTTCACTCGCTCTTGCAAATGATGGTTATCAACTAGGAGAAAAGGAAGTGAGTCTGACCTGGTCCCTGCACTGTGATTCTCAACAGGCACCTTATTAGAAAGACAGAACATGGAACATTGTTTTACTTTCAAAGAACAGAAGGCTGAAGCCAAAAGAAAGGAATGGTCTTGCAAGAAGTCACAGCTAGTACAGTGGCAGAAAGGTGTCAAACCCAAGTCTGGGACTGAAGAGACAGTTTATCTGGTAAAGGGGCTTGTTAGGCAATTTGGTAACCAGAGTTTGGTCCCCAGAACCCACATAAAGGTGGACGAAAACTGACTCGATGGTCCTTTGACCTTCACATGTGCAGTGCGGTACCATGCTCTCCCACACACCATACATACACTTTTTTTAAAAAGGAGGTCATACAACAGTACTTGGGAGGCAGAGACAGGCAGATCTCTATGAATTTGAGGCCAGCCTGTTCAAATAGTGAATTCCAGGCCAGCAAAGGCTATAGTAAGACCCTTTCTCAAACAAGTAAATAATAACTTAAAAATAGCTAATATTTATTGAGCTCTTCCTGGGGACCCACGCTATGTCGTTCAGACCCAGGACACTTCTTTTTTTTTTTTTTTTTTGGTTTTTCGAGACAGGGTTTCTCTGTATAGCCCGGGCTGTCCTGGAACTCACTCTGTAGACCAGGCTGGCCTCGAACTCATAAATCCGCCTGCCTCTGCCTCCCAAGTGCTGGGATTAAAGGCGTGCGCCACCACCCTGCACACTTCTAAATACATTGTGAAACTGGTACTCTTATTGGCTGTTTGAGAAACAAAGGCAGTGGTGTGCAACGCCCATGTAATTTTTTGGTTTTATCTCAGTAGGCTCTATCATTTGTAAGATGAGGAAACCAAGGCCCCAGGAGAGGGGAGGAGGGCTGTTAAGAGTGGACGAGCCCCCATCGCAGTCCCTGGAGCCCCTCTGACCCGTGGCCATGTTTCCACAGGTGCAGCAACAGGGAGAGCCCTTTGGCTTGCCGGGCTTCTCACCACCGCGGCTATCGCTGACCGGCCTGAGTGGCCCAGCTCCGAACCATGCGGGGCTACCGGTGTCCGAGCGGCTGCGGCAGGATGCAGCCGCCTTGAGTGTGCTGCCCGCTCTGTTGGATGCCGTGCGCCGCCGCCAGGCGGAGCTGAACCCGCGCGCCCCGCGCCTGCTGCGGAGCCTGGAGGACGCGGCCCGCCAGGTTCGGGCCCTGGGCGCCGCGGTGGAGACGGTGCTGGCCGCTCTGGGCGCTGCAGCCCGCGGGCCCGGACCAGAGCCCGTCGCCGCCGCTACCCTCTTCACGGCCAACAACGCTGCAGGCATCTTCTCAGCCAAGGTGCTGGGGCTCCATGTGTGCGGCCTCTATGGCGAGTGGGTGAGCCGCACCGAGGGCGACCTGGGCCAGCTGGTGCCAGGGGGCGTCGCCTGAGAGCCAATACTTGTTCTTGCACGCTCGCTCTGTCCCGCCTCTTTGGCTTCTAATTCTCTGCCTCTCCATCTGTGTCATCCGTGTGTGTTCTTGGGCTGTCCCTCTCTTTCTGCATTGTATGATCTTTCTTTTCTGCTCTCCTTTTCTCAGGGAGCTTCTTGTGCCCACCAGTTTCCCATCGTGTGTCTTTCTCTGAACTCTTATGTCTCTGAGAGGCTTCTGCTTCTGTTTCCTTGTCTTTTGGTTCTTTCTTTCTTGGCTTGCTCGTTTATTTTTGAGACAGGGTCTCACCATATAGCTCTGGATTGCCTGGAACTTGCTAGGTAGACCAGGCTGGCCTCGAACTCATAGAGATCCACCTGCCTCTACCTCCCAGTTTTCCCCATCTGTCTCCCTGTGGTCCATATGTGTAACTCTTATTTCATTTCATGGAGGTGACACTTTTTCTCCCTTCAGTTTCTTTGTTCTTTACTGACCAGAAAAGTGCCTACTTGTCCTCTGTTGGCAAGGCCACCCACCCTCAGGACCTTCCCACCAGTTCCTTTATAGGCAAATCCCTCCCCCTTTGAGGTCCTTCCCTTTCTTACCTCTCTACCCTATTCTCAATGGCCCCCAGCCCTAGGCTGGTCAATGGAGAGGGAAAGGGAGCAAAACATCTTAAGAGTTTTATTTGTGAATAAATTAAATTTTTGTAAATAAAATGTTTAACAATAAAACTAAAGTTTTATGAAACATAGTTGTTGCATATGGGGAGAGTGATTTGAGGAGAATCAGATCTTTAGAGTACAGGAGGTTTCTCTTCCAGCCCCATCTTTAGAGTACAGGAGATTTCTCTTCCAGCCCCATACCCACAAAGGCACAAGCCAGCAATACCACCTGTCAGTTCTGAACACAAAGTGGATATTCCTAGCAGGAAACAGATACAGCATGAGTCCTAGTGGCTGTGACATGCACTGGGCTGCCATCACTGGACAGCTCAATAGAAACTATCAATGGAGAGGTGGACCAAGGAAAGGAACTCCAGCAAAAAGAGACCTGTTTCAGAAAGGCCAGGTCTTTGCATAGGAATCGAGGTAGACAGAGACACAAAGCCAGACCCTGGACTTCCTCAAATATAGGACAAAGAACACCAGAACAAGCCCAGGAGACCAAATGTCCTCTCCCTAGAGTAAAGCCTCTTCAGAAGGGCTCTTCTTTCCAACCAGGAAGTTAAAAAAAAATCAATGTACTGTTGATTTAGTAATCCATCAAATGGATCCAGAGTGCCCCTTCCCTCCCATATCTGGAAGGGATTCTCTAGAACCTGGCAGGAAGATCCAGACAATACGGAGCAGAGCTTTAGCTTCTAGGAAATATTCCCAAATGCTTGGCACACAGGCCCTGTCTTCTAAGTGGGATGTGGTGTATTCTCCGTCTCAGAAGTAAGGCAAGAATGAGTCCTCTGAAAGAGAGATTCTTGGGACTTCTGTCAGAAGGCCAACCTCTTATGCTGGATACTTTGCCTTGAGTAAAGCCAAGTCCCTCACAGCTCGGTCCGTCCAGTGACCGTATTCCCGGGTCACTATGTAGCCTCTGCATTTCCTCTCAAAGGCTGAGGCCCCAAAAGGGACAATCCCCAGAGTATCCTCTTCTGGAGGGATGGGGAGCCCTAGAGCAGTCATGATAGCGGCCATGTTGCCCAATAGGCCTTGGGCCCTGAGTCTTGCTGCTCCTAGCTGGGCCAGCAGGATAGGACTGCCAGGATTCAGATCACTCTGGTCATCCCCCACGAGCTGGAGGTGCTGGGTCAAGGCCAGGAAGGCTCCCTGGGCTCGGCTTAGCCGCTCTGCATCTTCCATTGCATGCCAGGTCTTGAAGGAGACAGCTGCGGAAGGCAGGGTGCTGAGCTGGAGCTCGGGAGCTGAGAAGCCAGGGTCACTGAAGGGGCTGCCCTGGTACTGGAGCTGCACGGATGAGAGACAGAAGTAAGGGGACTGAAGCAGTGTCTGGGTGAACATCTTCCCTCTGAGACTGGCCTTGGCCCAGAGGAAGCCACCGTTCACCACCCTTCAGGAGCCGTATGGGTAATCAAGGGGACATGAGTTCCCTTTTGTCCTCTGTATCAGCTGTGTCTCACTGAGTCTCAGGAATCCATAGTTCTGCATGAACAGTGTGGTACAACAATAGAAAATAATGCATGTAAAAATGAACACAGAGTACACAGAGAAATCCTGTCTCGAAAAACCAAAAAAAAAAAAAAAAAAAAAAAAAGAACACAGAGCCAGGCAGTGGTGGTACACGCTTTTAATCCCAGCACTTGGGAGGCAGAGGCAGGTGGATTTCTGAGTTCGAGGCCAGCCTGATCTACAGAGTGAGTTCCAGGACAGCCAGGGCTACACAGAGAAACCCTGTCTCGAAAAAACAAAAACAAAAACAAAAGAAAAAAAATGAACAGCATCTAGCATGCGTATAAGTGATAACCACTACCTACTAAATATATCAATGAACAATATGACGACTTCCTTCACGTTCAGTCCAAGTACGTTATTAACAGGTACTAACAGCTGATGTTTCTTTTGTTTTGTTTTTTTCTTTTTTCTTTTTTTGTTTTTTTCAAGGCAGGGTTTCTTTATGTAGCCCTGGCTGTCCTGGAACTCTGTAGACCAGGCTGGCCTTGAACTCAGAGGTCAACCTGCCTCTGTCCCCTCACCCCCCAAGTGCTAGGACTAAAGGTGTGCACTACCACCTTTATTTTCTAAACAGGGTCTCATTGTGTACCCCTCACTGTGTATCTGTAAGTTTGTATGTAGGCTGGTCTCAAGCACACAAAGATCGGCCTGCGTCTGCTACCTGAGTTTGGGACTGAAGGAGTATACTATGTTCAGCCTCTGATGTTTCCTTTTTTTTTTTTTAATATTTATTTGTTTTATATATATGAGTACACTGTAGCTGTCTTCAGATGCACCAGAAGAGGGCATCAGATCCCATTACAGATGGTTGTGAGTCATCATGTGGTTGCAGGGAATTAAACTCAGGACCTCTGAAAGAGCAGTCAGTGCTCTTAACCACTGAGCCATCTCTCCAGCCCTGCCTCTGATTCATTTAGTAGCTTATGTTCTCATTTCATCTGTATAAGCCAAGACTCACAGGTTCTTTTGGTTTATTTGTGGGTTGTTTTGTATTGTTTGTTTTGATTAGTTTTTAAAAGAATTTTTATGTGTATGGTTGTTTTGCTTACATGCAATACCCATGTGTGTGCCCAGCAACCTTGGAGGCCAGAAGAATAAATCAGATCTCCTGGGTACTGGAGTTGGTGATGGTTGTGAGCCATGATGTGAATACTGAGACTTGAACTCAAGTTCCACCAGTGTGTGCGTGCGTGTGTGTGGTGTGTGTGCATGTGTGTGGTGTGTGTGCGTGTGTGTGTGTGTATGTGTGTGTGTGTGTGTGTACAAGACACACACACAATCTGTCTCCCTGCCTCCTGTTTGTTTTGAAAACAGAATCCTGCTGTGTGATCCAGAGTGCCTTGTACTCACAATTGTCCTTCTACCTCCTAACTGCTGAGATGACAGACATAAGCCACCATGTCAGGCTTGTATGTGTGTGTGTGTGTGTGTGTGTGTGTGTGTGTACAAGTGCATGCCCCTGACTGAGGTGCTTTCCTTTCCACCTGTGGGTTCCCAGGTTTGACTTGGTCATCAGGTGAGTGGCAAGCACATTCACCCACGCAGCCGTCTTGACAGTCCTTTTTTCTGTAATTTTTGGTGTGGTTTTTTTTTTCCTCCAAAGCCTTGTAGAGCCCATGCTGCTCTTAACCTCACTGTGCCAAGGATGATGGTCTTGAGCTCTCGAAGCTTCTGTCACCCAAGTACTGGGTCACAGATGTATGTGTCACACCTAGCCTGACACAGAAGCCTAACATATTTATAGACCTAACTGACCTAATCTCTTAGCCCCATTTTGCAGGTGGAAAAACAGACTTAGGGTATCCAGTGGTAGTAGTGGTAGAGATAAGACTAGAACCTAGATATATTTGTTTGTTTGTTTTGGTTTTTTGAGACAGGGTTTCTTTTCTTTTTTTAAGATTTATTTATTTTATGTCTGTAAGTACACTGCTGTCTTCAGACACACCAGGAGTGGGCATCTGATCCCATTACAGATTGTTGTGAGCCACCATGTGGTTGCTGGGAATTGAACTCAGGACCTCTGGAAGGGCAGTCAGTGTTCATAACTGCTGAGCCATCTTTCCAACCCATAACTCTAATGTTTTAAAGAACAATGCAGCAGAAGAGCTGTAAACTCCAGGGTCTCAGGACCAAGCAGCTATGTAATTTAGGAAGGGACAGGGCTACAGTCAGGCCAAGATGTGGCCGATGGGATCCTGTCCTTTCCACTCAGAATGGAAACCAGTACCAGATGAATCAAGCAAGGGAACACCCAAGACTCAGAAAGCAAGCAGCCAGTTTTACTTCTAGAGGGTGGGAACGTCTAGGATGGAGTTCCACAGACTGCTTCCAGACCCAGCCATTGCTCTCACTAGCTCAGTGCCCTAAGCCAAATTACTCCTCTCTACAACTCCATTTTCTCACTTATAAAATAAATCCTGGTTCCAACATGCAGAGGGATTTTAGGGATCCGTGAGCCCATGGGACAGAGCACCAGGATAGACCAGAGCTGAAGTGAGCACAGGGAGTGAGCTAGTGCCAGAAGAATGACTCCCTGAGGTTCTAAGTGTGTGCTGTGTGTGTGTATACTGTGTATATGTGTTTCTCTGTGAATCCTGTGTGTATGTGTCTGTGTCCCTGTGAGCATGTGTCTGTGTATGTGTGTGTATCCTGTGTACATGTGTTCCTGTGTGTGTCCTTTGTGTATGTGTCTGTGTCCCTCTGAGCATGTGTGTGTGTAATGTGTGTATCCTGTGTACATGTGTTTCTGTGTGTGTTCTGTGTGTATGTGTCTGTGTCCCTGTGAGCGTGTGTGTGTGTGTGTGTGTGTGTGTGTGTATCCTGTGTGCATGTGTGTGGCCAGTAAAATCAGAGTTCCACATTATTAGCAGCTTTTTAATAAGTGTTTGTTGTTTTCCTCTTAACCCAACTGGCTCCCAAATAACTGAGACTGGACTATTAATTTAACAAGCTTTAAGGACACAACAACTGAGCAGTATTATTCTATTTTAATCCTTTAAGATAATCTGGCTACCGCCTAGTCAAAATCACAGTGATATTTGTTTTTAGTACTGATCTGGCTCTCTGGGCTCCAGGTGTTTTCTCATGCTGTCTCCCAGACTCTTTCCCCAAGGCAAATCCCTGCTTCCTCTCTCTCTTCCTCCCACCCCCTTGGCTAGGAGGAAATCCAGGCCTATTCTTTCCCCTGCGCAGTCACTAGCTGATTAGCTTCCTTATTGACCAATCGGAATAATTGGGGAGCAGTGTTCATATAACTTCGAGACAGGGCTGGAGAGATGGCTCAGCGGTTAAGAGCACTGACTGCTCTTCCAGAAGTCCTGAGTTCAATTCCCAGCAACCACATGGTGTCTTACAACCATCTGTAATGGGATCAGATGCCCTTTTCTGGTGTGTCTGAAGACAGCTATAGTGTACTCATATAAAATAAATAAATAAATCTTAAAAAAAAAATTGAGAGAGGAGTTCTCAGAATAAGGATTGCAATCAGATATGGGAGTACAGAAATCAGCATTTGAATAGTACAAGGACAGTCTTTACACAGGGTATAATAACATTATGCCTGCAACAC